ACTCTTAAAGCAGACAGCTCAATGTAAGATAGAATCATAGAATCATTTAGATTGGAAAAGACCTCTATGATCATTCAGTCCAACTGTTAACAACTGTTAGTCCACCACTAAACCATGTCCCTAAGTGTCACGTCTACACATCTTCTAAACACCTCCAGGGGTGGTGACTCAGTCATTGCCTGTTACAGTGCTTGACAGCTCTTTTGGTGAAGAAATTTTTCCTAATATCCAGTCTAAACCTCTCCTTGTATGAAGTTGTTTCCTCTTGTCTCATTGCTTGTTACCAGGGAGAAGACACTGACCCCTCCTGTCTACAACCTCCTGTCAGGTAGCTGTAGAGAGCGATAAGGTTTACCCTGAGCCTCCTTTTCCCCAGGCTAAACACCCTCAGCTCTGTCAGCTGCTCCTTGTATGACTTATGCTGCAGATCCTTCCCCGGCTCTGTTGCCCTTCTTTGGATACACTCCAACACCTCCATGTCCTTCTTGCCATGAGGCGCCCAAAACTGAACACAGGATTCGAGGTGTGACCTCACCAGTGTGTGAGTTCCTCTCAGATATTTTTTAAGCTTATATACATATACTTGCCACCTTACACATATGGCCTAGCATGCCCCACTCCCTCCCTTTGTGCCGCCTGTGCTTAATTAGAGCTCCCATGGGAGTGCCAGGGGCTGTGGTGAGGCAAGTGACACCAACTGAGACTGAGGTGAGTTTTGAGGATTCTGGAATGAGCATGTGGTGGGTCCAAATTTCCTGCTGCCAAATGGTGGAGTAAATTAACTGATAGTCTGTAGGAATTCATTGGGTGTTTATATTTTTTATTGTCTTCATGCAGAGCAGTCTGGAAAACTAAACCTTCTTATGTTTTGGATGTGTTGTTAACAGCAGTGAAAATTTCCCTGGTGACACAAAAATGGATCACACAAATGTACACAGGGCTATTCTCTGTCTAACTTCAGGTATCGGATGTAGGTAGCTGTTTTGGGAGGTGGTACCCCCACAAAGTCAATGCATAGAGTTGGGGTTTTCCAGATGTCATTTCAGAACATCTAAGCCAGAACCTACCTTAGTCCCTTGTCTATAGAAGGAGCATGAATTTAATTAGTTTGAGCATCTCTTGGCACATTGTAATGTCCCAAAACACTGCACATGGCTGTTAAAAGCAGCTTCTGATAAAGACTACTATGGCAATTGACTTTTTTTTGTCCTGTCCTCCAGTGGCCTCTTCTACCGAATATATCTACACTAGAGCCTTCAGCATGTCATGCCACAGTGCTCTTGTTTGCAGTTTAGACAAAAAAAAATCGTTTCCTTTAAAGATAAAGAAAAATACAGTTTCTCACCAATAAGGTAACAGCTGTTTTGCTGAGGTCAGTTCAGTAGTGTATTTATTTCTAGACATTCAAATTAGTCATGGAAAATCTTACAATTCTGCTCTTTAGAACAGAGGAGTCCAGAGCTGGAATATATTGCTTTACAGTAGCAAACAAAATCCTCATTAGTTCCTTTATTTGACAAACTGGCCTGGTGCTAGGAGAAAAGTATGCTATAAGAAGGCAATATAGCTTCAGAAATAGAATACTCTGAAAAAATCTCTTGGGGATAGTTTAATTTGTTTTGGCATATATAAGTCAATGTTTATTATATAGTAGTGATAACTGGGCAGGTCCATTGAAGGTATGACAAGTTTAGTCTCTGTGTTGCTTTATAGGAAACTGGAAGAATGATCAATGTAGTGCTGCAGAGCATAAAAATATTTTCTTTTTAAAATTCTATATTGCAGCATAATAGTCTACGGTGGTTGTTATGTGCTGGGCACACTAAACTGATGTCAAAAGCTGCATTCAGACTGACCATCACTGCAATATTTCTGCATTTGAAGGTGCAGGTTGTAGCACTATCTCCATTCCACACCACAGGCATGCCTGGGCACAGGTCATGTTTCTCAGTAAAAGAAATCTTATATGTACTCATCAAAAGTGATGGCTAGTTTTCAGGCAATCAAGAAAATCATTAATTAAATATTACTTTGTAAATCAAGGGCATTCTTATCATCTGGAGAACAACGAAAAAGATACTAGTCTCTGCCTGGTTGCAGTTTCTAATCCAGTTGACCATACCTTTTGCAAGAGATAATGAGAGGAGCTTGCTCTTTCAATATTCCTTCAAAGTGAAGAGATTCACTTAAGCTATTAAGCAATAGTATAGGGTTTTTCTCAATTTTCTTTCACTCAAGGTGTGCAATGGTTGGGTGGGTGCATGGACTGGAATGGCAAAAGCTATGAATTTTGAATGTATAAATTGCTTTGATTTTTTTTCTTTCATCTGTATTGATGTCAAATTGAATGATTCCTTCTGTGGAACAGCACAGTGCATGCAAGTGTTATTGCTTTCACAGGTCTGAAAAATACAGGTGTCTGTACTGTAAGACTGTAAGAGCAGAACCCATTAAGATGTGAAATGGATAAGAAAAAGAGATAAGAGATCATAAAAAAAATCTAACTTGTTTGATGAATGTTGAGAAGGAAATAGTGTATACATTTTCACTTTTTGGCATCAGTCTAGGAAATCATGTTTAGTGTTAATTAAATCATATGTAATATCTTTCACTTGAAAAAGAAGCGTATGAGAAATACTTATTTCTTAGATCTCACAAATATTATTCTCATTTTCCAGCTGAATGTATATTATTAGGAGAGTAGCAGAGCTAGACAGAGAACCAGCAATGCTAACTAGTTCTGTGTTTAGCAGACAGAATATTGTCCTGAACTTCAAATTAATCACTACATGTTTAAGATGGGATAGATGTAACTCTGCAACTCTGTGCAGTTTCTCAGTTAACTGGCAGTTCTTAGAAAGGACTTTTCCTTACCAAATATTCAGAATATATGGTGCTCTCATCCTGGCTGAAGGCATGAGACAGTACTCTGGTACAAACAATAACCAGCCTGTCACATTTTTATTGCACTGGTTTAATCAATGCAATCATTTTCACTCATTCCATTGGTTCACAGTTTATTCATCTTTACTGTTCACTGTTGAGACTTAAACCTTTCCACATGCCATTTCAATGATTATGAGTACACTCTTGCTTTTATTCATTTAGTTGCATTAGATACTATAACCTTTCATGTGACTATATTCTCTTGCTACAGATTATCTTGGTCTTTTCATCTATTTCTTTTTGTATCCTGTGTCCCAATTTCCTATTAGAAATATGTTAATCTGTTTCACTCTGCTTCTGACTGTGTTGTAAGTGACTAATAATTTAAGATCTATTATTAGACCTCACCACACTGCTAGTCAAAGTCACATTGTAATTTAAGGCAGCGTGAAACTATCTTAAGAAGCTGTGAAAAGTTATAAGTAGTAACCATATTGATGTTTCAGCCTTTTGTAGAGAATTATTTACTTGAATAATTGCTAGGTACTAAGAAAAGTCTACAATGGGCATTTAATTTAAATCATGGAATCACACGGTTTGGGTTGGAATGGACATTAAATACATCCTGTTCAACCCTCCCCTAGCCCAAGTTGCTCAAAGCCCCATCCAACCTGGCCTTGAATGCTTCCAGGGTTGGGGCATCCACAGCTTCTCTGGGCAACTGTGCCAGTGCCTCACCTGCTCACAGTGAAGAATTTCTTCTTTATAGCTAATCATAGAATCAACCAGGTTGGAAGAGACCTCAAAGATCATCAAGTCCAACACTACCGTGGTTACTAGACCATGGCACTAAGTGCCATGTCCAGTCTCATCTTGAAAACCTCCAGGGATGGTGAATCCACCCCCTCCCTGGGCAGCACATTCCAGTGTCTGATCACTCTCTCTGTAAAAAATCACTTCCTAATATCCAACCTAACCCTCCCCTGGCAGAGCTTGAGTCTGTGCCCTCTTGTCCTCCTGCTGGTTGCCTGGGAGAAGAGACCAACCCCCACCTGACTCCAACCTCCTGTCAGGGAGTTGTAGAGGGTGATAAGGTCTCCCCTGAGCCTCCTCTTCTCCAGGCTGAACACCCCCCGCTCCCTCAGCCTCTCCTCATGGCACTTGTGCTCAAGTCCCTTCACCAGCCTCGTTGCTCTTCTCTGGACCTGCTCCAGCACCTCAATATCCTTCCTGAACTGAGGGGCCCAAAACTGCACACAGTATTCAAGGTGTGGCCTCACCATTTATTATTTCCATTGTGAGGGTATGTTTGCATTCAAACCAACAATATAGGGTGCTGTTTCTGTAAGCACTCTGCAATTAAGTCACAGTCCATGTGAGAGAGACCTATCGAGACAGGGTTAAGACAAAGAGAAAAACAAAGCAGCAGTATAAATTCATTACAGACCAGGTGTAACTGAGGAGCTCAGGTACGTGTTTCCAAGATGTAACTGCTTTCAGCTGTACATTCTGTCTTTATGAAGGCAACTGTTCTGATAGTGCAGGCAATAGATCAGGTTGTGTGTATGTGCCTGTAGTTTCTTTCTTCAGCCCACTTGTGTGTCAGCATGAGGACACAAGTGAAAAGATTACTTCCTGGGAAGAACTGAAGTCACTAACCAGCTAGGAGTTAATACTGGTATACCAGTGAGCCAAATACTTTTACTTTTGACCTCATTCGCATTAGTGAAACCACCCGTTTCCAGCCACATTTATTCCAGCTCAACCCCAAAACCCCAAGTTGTATTAAAAAACATAGACTGTCACCATAGCTTATTGCATTTTTCTGCAAATTGCATTGGTGTTTTGATGTTGTCACATATTAAATCCCTGAATGACATTTATAAGCTAGCAAGCACAGTTTGGGGTTACAGCTATGGCCTTTATGTTTCCAGAATATGTGGAGTGGCAATTCTTTTAACTCCGTTTATGTTTTTTTAATTTTCTTTGGATGGTTATTTTCACTTTCACTTATCCAATGTGTGTGTGTGTGACAAGTAGCTGATGATACGAGTGGAAAGCACTGCTAGAAATTTTTTGCATATAGTTCTCTAAAGTCTCTGAATTTTTTTCAGGTTGATTGCCCAGATCCATGACGAATTATTGTTTGAAGTAGAAGATTCTCAAATCCAGGAATTTTC